CAGTCCACTCGCTCTACTCCACTCCACTCCACTCACTCGCTCACTCGATCACGTTCGTCGCGCTGTGCTCCATTCGTAATTTCTTCTCATTACATTGATCCTTTCGCGGGGTTGAGCTTGCTAACGTTGCCTTCCTTTCTATGTCGTGTCTTCCCACTCTAAACGGTCTGGATCTGGAACTGGCTTTGGGTTTGCGATGATCCTCCAGTGTGATTGTACAAGCCGATGGACAGCTGCGCACAGGATTCGACGTGGTGGTGGCTGCTTTGTTGGGTGCCGATGAGTTTGGTTTCAGTACGGCTCCCTTGATTGTCATGGGTGAGTTTTAATTGGTCCTTTTTAATACCCCTTTTTTATAATCTCTTTTTAAAGGCTGCACCATGATGCGCAAGTGTCACTTGAACACCTGTCCTGTGGGCATTGCCACTCAGGATCCTGAGCTGCGCAAGAAGTTCACGGGCAAACCAGAACATGTTATCAACTTCTTCTTCATGCTGGCCGAAGATGTGAGCTTATTCTCTGTTTTGATTCTTAATGATATACTCATTCTTTACTTATTCTCTCCAGATCCGCAAAATCATGGCTAGTTTGGGTATCCGCAAGTTCCAGGATCTGATTGGTCGCACTGACCTTTTGCGCGTGGCCAGTCGGCGGGATGCGAAGGCCAGTAACTTGGACCTCAAGCTGCTCCTGCAGCCAGCATTGGAACTGCGTCCTGGCACGAACATCATAGGTGGCTCCGTAAAGCAGGACTTCCAGCTGGAGAAACGATCCGACAATCAGCTTATTGCCAAGGCTCAGCAAATCTTCAATGGTACCGATGACAATGTAACCGTCAAGATGCGCATCCATAACGAAGAGCGAGCTTTTGGTTCCACCCTCAGCTACCATATTGCATGGTGGGTTTAAGTGCTTGTAGAAGATAATTGGAATCTAATGTCTATATCTATCTATATCTATATTTCTCAATAGCAAATATGGAGAGGCTGGATTGCCGGCTGGAAAGAGTATCGACATCTTCCTGGAGGGATCCGCCGGCCAGAGTTTCTGCGCCTTCCTGGCCCGTGGCGTGAATGTGACGCTGAAGGGCGATGCCAACGATTATGTGGGCAAGGGTCTGTGCGGTGGCAATGTGGTCATCACTCCGCAGGACACGGTTCCCTTCGAATCGCACCTAAACGTGATCGTGGGCAATGTCTGTCTGTACGGAGCCACAGAGGGCACCGCCTATTTCCGGGGCATTGCCTCCGAGCGATTCTGTGTGCGCAACTCAGGAGTCACAGCCGTTGTGGAGGGTGTGGGCGATCACGGATGCGAGTACATGACTGGCGGTCTGGTGGTCATCCTGGGACTCACGGGACGCAACTTCGCTGCCGGCATGTCCGGTGGCATTGCCTATGTGTACGATTTGGATGGTTCCTTCAAGCCCAAGGTGAATCCGGAAAGTGTGGAGCTGCTGCCGCTGGAGATTGAGAAAGATGTGCTGCTGGTCAAGGAACTACTGGCTGATTTCATTGAGAAAACAGGCTCTAAGGTGGCCAAGGAGTTGCTGGACAACTGGGCTGATGCCCAATCCAAGTTCGTCAAGGTGTTCCCCTACGAATACCAAAAGGCTCTAAAGGACATGGCCGAACAGGAGGCAGTGGAACAGCCCCTAAAGTCTGCCATTGCCAATGGAAACGGAAAGCACGAACCGCACATTAAGGACATCGAGGAATCGATCCAGGATGTGGCACTCGAGCAGAAGCGGGCCGATCGCGTGCTGGACAAGACCCGTGGCTTTGTGAAGTACAAGAGGGAATCGGCGCCTTATCGCGATGCTGGGGAGCGGCAGAAGGATTGGGACGAGGTCTACAACTTCCCGCACGTGCGCAAGAACCTCAAGGTTCAGGCAGCCCGCTGCATGGAGTGCGGAGTGCCCTTCTGTCAGTCCAACTCCACCGGCTGTCCTCTGGGCAACATCATTCCGAAGTGGAACGACCTCGTGTTCCACGGCGAGTGGCAGGAGGCACTGCGTCAGCTGCTGCAGACCAACAACTTCCCGGAGTTCACGGGACGAGTGTGCCCCGCTCCCTGCGAGGGATCCTGTGTCTTGGGCATCTCGGAGCCGGCGGTGACGATCAAGAACATCGAGTGCGCCATCATCGATCATGCCTTCGAGCAGGGTTGGATCAAGCCGGAGATTCCCGATATTCGCACCGGCAAAAGGGTGGCCATTGTGGGCTCCGGTCCCTCCGGTCTGGCCGCCTCCCAGCAGCTGAATCGCGCGGGTCACTTTGTCACCGTCTTCGAACGCAACGATCGCGTGGGTGGCCTGCTGCAGTACGGCATTCCCACAATGAAGCTGTCCAAGGAGGTGGTCAAGCGGCGGGTGGACCTAATGGCCGACGAGGGCATCGAATTCCGTACAAATGTCCATGTAGGCAAGGACCTCAAGGCCGAGCAGTTGCTGCAGGAGTGAGTATATTGATTTAGTTTTTGTGACCAAGATTTAAGGATCATTTGAAGATATTTGTAAAAACAAAGACAGAATTAAAGATTTTTTTTTACGTACATAATTTAAAATCATAATCTAAAGTTCAAATTGTTTCTGTGTCAACAAGTTTTAAAAATAATTTTTTTTTAATTAAGTTTTGGGAAAAACTTCTGTACACCTTTTACTGACTATAATGTAATCCTCTCCAGGTACGATGCCGTTCTCCTCACCACTGGCTCCACTTGGCCTCGTGACTTGCCACTGGCCAATCGTGACCTGAAGGGCATCCACTTTGCCATGGAGTTCTTGGAGGCGCAGCAGAAGAAGCAGCTGGGCGGCAAGCAGGACATAATCTCAGCCGCCGGCAAGGATGTGATCATCATCGGCGGTGGTGACACCGGATGCGATTGCATTGCCACCTCGCTGCGTCAGGGGGCCAAGAGCATCACCACATTCGAGATCCTGCCGGAACCGCCGCAGAAGCGCGCCGAGGACAACCCCTGGCCGCAGTGGCCGAAGGTCTTCCGCGTCGACTACGGACACGAGGAGGTCAAGCTGAAGTGGGGCAAGGATCCGCGCCAGTACTGCACAACCACCAAGGAGTTCGTGGGCGAGAATGGCACCATCAAGGGCGTGAACACCGTCGAGGTGGAGTGGACCAAGACGGAGACGGGCCAGTGGCGCATGCAGGAGGTGGCCGGATCGGAGAAGTACTTCCCCGCCGACCTCATCCTGCTGGCCATGGGCTTCCTCGGGCCAGAGAAGACGGTGTCCGGCGAATTGGGCCTGGAGCTTGACCCGCGCGGTAACATCAAGGCCTCCAATGGACAGTATGGCACCTCCAACTCCAAGGTCTTTGCGGCAGGCGGTAAGTTATTCGTTAAACTGGGATCTTTAACCTTTGGATTAATATAATTTTTATGACGAAGACATAATGTTTAATAACTTCAAAGACCCAAACAAATGATGACTCTAGAAAGACCTCTAAAAATTTCATCGGGTAAAATTGGGTAGATCCTCATGTCCAACCCAACGTTAACGCGAATTCTTTAGCTCAATTGAGTAATTTGAGCGGAAGTACATATCCTGCTTTACTTTGAATATAACTCTTCTTATTTTATTTATTTAAACTGCTTTACTTTTTTTTCACCTTTTTAGATTGCCGGCGAGGACAGTCGCTGGTCGTGTGGGCCATCACCGAGGGTCGTCAGGCCGCCCGCCAGGTGGATTCCTATCTGACCGGTCGTCCAAGCGGGCTGCCAGGACCTGGTGGCGTCATCGGGACATCCTAAGCAGGTTCTACAGCGGCAGCCAGTGCAGCTATTGCCTAGTTTTGTGTGCGTGCATCGTCCTTAGCCTAGTGCGAAATTCTTTACCGATTTGTGATTTTTATTTTCGCGATTTTAGTTTAGTTTACACTAAAAAAGACTTGAGTTTTTTACACACCAAACCAAAACCAAAACGAAACACGTTTCATTTAGTTTTATTTTCATCGCAAAGCTGGCTGGGAATAGTTTGTGGTTCGTCGAGATGCCCTCCATAGGTGATGATGCTGCGGCAGGAGTCAATTAAGAGTGCAAAATAAAATGCTGATTGAGGCCAATCAATCGGATACTTATATATCTTAAAGGAAATCGAATATCCAACAAAACAGATCTAAGGACAATAACTAGAAATTTACCGTTATCGTTAAACAAAAAAAAAAGTAATTAATTGACCGTAAAATATTTAGAAAATGCATTTTTTTCAATGTTGTTCGATTTGTGTTGCCTGTTCTATGCAAAAAAAAATATATATGAAGTGAAAATTGATATGCTGATCTCCACCCTCCTATATACAATCTATCCAAAAATCGTATATACAGACAGATAAATGTATTAAACTCGGCCAATATCGAATCGCATTTTTTTAGATGTTGTTTGTGTGTTTTGAACTGCATTCGACCGTTAACCGCAAAAGTACCTAAGTGGCTATTGTTAAAACAAATGTGCTCTTTGGCAGTTATATGTATGAAAACAGGAAAAATACACTATTTATACAAAAAATATTTAACCCAACTGTATACCCTTATACATACATCTCTATATGAATATATTTATGTGCAAGCATTTGATGAAATAAATATTCAAACTATTACAAGGCATTCGCTGGTTTTTTTTAAAGTTGGGGATGACAAATTTAAAATAAAGTATTATTTGTACAATAAAACTAAAAGTTTTTTTTTTTAACAAATAGTTTCTTGTAAGATCGAAAACTCCTAGTGAAAAAAATGTATTTGGGATCAATATAGCGAACGCCGTAATGCACGCCGTTTAAGAAATTTAAATACCTCAAGAATCGGCAACTTAAAAATTATATGATATCCATATACAAATTATTAATAAACAAAACCAAAGTAGTTAAAATACTCAGCAAAATTCAAATTAAGCGCGCCAATATTAAAGCTATAATAAAAATACCATTTTTAGTTTTATGGTATTTTTTGAGGTTCGCCCACTTTTACGCCTTGGTAACACTAAACGGGTGTCACTCTTTTCGCCCCTGGGCACACTGTTTGCCTTTCGCACGCGTATTTTTCTGCCGATTTTGCGTGTAAATTTCATTGTGAAAACATAATTAAACAGCAGCAATCATGGTTAACTTCGACCTGACACGCATCAACTGTCAATATTTGGACAGGCATTTGACCTTCCCGCTGCTGGAGTTCTTGTGCGGCAAGGAGGTTAGAAAATCGACCAGGCGGTGCTCCGCCAGCGGTTTGCCGTGTCACCAGCTATCGAATCTGGGTAATCTACATATATGTGATTTCCGTTGCAGATCTACAACCAGCAGGAGCTGCTCGAGTACATCCTGGAGACGGTCAACAAGACGAACATGATCGATTACACGATGGACACCCGCAAGCGTCTCAATCTCAGCCAGGAGATGCCCGAGGAGCTGGTGCAGCGCAAGGCGGAGGTCCTGGCCACGCTCAAGCAGCTGCAGAACGAGGTGGCGCCCATCATGAAGGCCACCGACATCCTCAAGAACGGCGAGAGCATGAAGGACTCGAAGACCTTCGTCAGCGCCCTGCAGAAGGACTACAACTTCAAGGTGGAGCATCTGGAGAGCGCCTACAAGTTGGCCAAGTACCTGTACGAGTGCGGCAACTACCAGGAGTCCACCTCGTACCTGTACTTCTGCCTAATTGTCATGTCGCCCAACGACAAGGTGTGTGTGGGGGTTATTCGGTAGAAAAAGGTATCCAAAGGCCGGAAAGATTCATAGGCAGCTAATTCTAAAATATGAATGCTAGTTACTCTCATATATATATATTCATTAACCCATTTAAAATCTTGAAACCCACAGAACTACCTGAATGTGCTGTGGGGCAAGCTGGCCGCCGAGATTCTGACCCTCAACTGGAACACCGCTCTGGAGGATCTGACGCGTCTGCGCGACTACATCGACAGCGCCAATTTCAGCACCATTCAGGCCCTGCAGCAGCGCACCTGGCTGATCCACTGGTCCGTGCTGGTGTTCTTCAATCACCCCAAGGGACGCGATCTCATCATTGAGATGTTCCTGTACAAGCCACTGTATCTGAACGCCATCCAGACAATGTGCCCGCACATCATGCGCTACCTGGCCACCGCCGTCGTGATCAACCGCACCCGTCGCAATGCTCTGAAGGATTTGATTAAGGTTATCCAGCAGGAATCGTACACATACCGTGATCCCATCACCGAGTTCCTGGAGTGCCTGTACGTGAACTTTGACTTCGAGGGAGCGCGTCTGAAGCTGCATGAATGCCAGACCGTGATCCTCAACGATTTCTTCATCGTGGCCTGCCTCAATGAGTTCGTGGAGGATGCCCGTCTGATGATCTTTGAGACATTCTGCCGCATCCACCAGTGCATCACCATTAGCATGCTGGCGGACAAGCTGAACATGAAGCCCAACGAGGCGGAGTGCTGGATCGTTAACCTCATTCGCAATGCCCGACTGAATGCTAAGATCGATTCGAAACTGGGACATGTGGTGATGGGCACCCAGCCCTTGAGTCCCTACCAGCAACTGGTGGAGAAGATCGACTCGCTGTCCATGCGGTCGGAGCATTTGGCCGGTTTGATTGAGCGCAAGAGCAAGCAGAAGCAGAACCAGGAATCAGTGGACTCCTGGAAGTACTACTAAATTGCTGACTTTTTAACCACAACTAAGTTAAGACACTTTGTACCCTTTAAACACCGATGATTGCGCGCAGTCGAGCGAATAAACCAACATCACACCCGTTCGCTCAATTCAACATTTAATTTTATTTCCTGTGGAATTCATTTTGAGTTATACAAAAAACAATACCAAGGCGGGAATTTTCAATTGCGCTAGCCTACAGAATGCAAACGTCTCCTAATCCTAGAATTAGTTGCTTGTACCTACGGGTCGGTGCGAGATCTTGCTGAGGATCAGGCTCCGGATCACACTATTGATTGCTACCGTCCCTTCTGCTTGACCACCAGCCAGGATCGCACGGGCAGGTCCTGCAGATAGACGATCCACTTTCGCACCAGCAGCAGCCACACAATGCCGTACAGCACGCAGATGCCGGACTCCAAGTAGTAGCCGTCGAAGGTGATCTCGCACTTGCCAGTCGACGCTTCGCAGCTCTGAAGCAAATAATGATTTTATCGTTTAAGTTGCTATCAAAAGGTTGTCTTTGTAGAACTTACCTGTTGCTGCTCCTTGCCCTGGCAGGTGTTTTCCGCATCAGTGGAGCACTGCTTCCAGGTGAGCACGTCCACCAGCCAGAGAACCACAGTGTTGGGCCAATTTCCGCCCAGATTGCACAGCGTGTTCAGGAAAGTCATGTAGGTGCCACCCACCGCGGGGTCAGAGATCTTGGCAAAGAAGGCCATGGCGGCCACGAACATGGAGTAGAGGAATACCTGGTAGATGGCATAGCTGGTGATAAGCAGGACGTAGTAGTAAACCGGCACTTCTCCTCCGCGGATGATGTACGGTGTGACGTAGGCCAAACCCGTGGCCACAGTGGCCATGATGATTCGGTAGGGAATAGCCTTTAAATAAACGTCCATGGGACGTGGTCCATTTGTATAGCGACCCACTGCGAGCGGCAGGATGAGCTGCAGCGGAATGAGGGGAATGGCCAGCAAGGCGAGCTTATCCTTGGGCACTCCTGCGTCGATTAACTTCAAGCTGGTCACCGCATCCGAGGCGGCAAAGGTTACTTTCACGGTGAGCAGGATTGCAGCCAGGATCTGGACGGGTCGCATGCGCACCATGTCCCACAGGATCTTGTAGCTGTCGTGGATGTTCAGCTCGTGCTCCTCCGTATATCGGGCGTCCATATGTGCGTCTTCGATGTCGTTCTCCTTCTTGAAAATGGCCACTAGTGTGGTGGCCACCACAAAAGTGATGCCCCAGAACCAGAGGAAGCGGGGCAGCGTGATCATGCCCTCCTCCAGCGGCACATCCCTCAGATAGGTGTTGCAGAAATCCTTCGACTCCAGGGCAATGAACACCACATAGCCCAGGAAGTAGCCGGCGGTTTGTCCCACACTATTGCAGGTGGAGGCATAGCCGACATTGCATCGCTTCAGCATGGTCAAGGCCCAGCCATCCACGGCGATGTCCTGGGTGGCGGCCAAGAAGTTGAGCAGGAAGAAGAGCAGTGTCAGCAGGGGAACATTCGGATCCACACCGTTCCCGCCCAGCCAGCGGTCCACGTGGAGGGACAGGAGCAGCATGAAGGCACCAAGGAGGTACTGCACCGGGACTAGCCAGGATTTCCTGCGGCCAAAACGCCGGACATACAGGGAATCCACAATGGGGGCCCACAGGAGCTTCAGGCTGAATGGCCAGTAGGCGAAGGAGAACTCCGCCTGCTGTTTGTAGCTGGCTCCTCGATTCTGCAGCAGCATGGGAATGGCTGCTATCAGGCCAATGGGTATTCCCTGCAGCACATACAGAAACAACAGTATGGCTATATTCCGCCGATCGCCACGAATATCTGGTTTCTGCTCCTCCTTTTCCTTCTCATTCTTTGGATGCCCCTCGATGAGCAACTCCTGGTCGGCATGGCTGCTCGTTGGCTTCCTCCTTATGGCGGACATGCTGTGAGTCGAAAGCAACGTAAGTATTATATATATTCTATATAAATGGAGGCCACCGGCTCACCTGTTTTTCTAATCAACAACGAATAACAACAAATGTCCCAGGTCCACGTCACTCAAGTGTCGAGCTTTTCTGAAGATTCCAGAGGCTTTCCTGTTGTTGCCTTCAAATAATTTCGATATCTGGTCTAAACGCGTTTCAGATTCTTCGCTAGTGCCCTTTTTACTTAATCATATTTCGACAAATGGGAATAACTTTTTTCGTGGCATATGTTTGTTGACGTTCCAATATTTTTTTATGGCAACTAAACATGCACTTGCTATAAACGCCGCAGCCATGGTCACACTAATCTTTCGCAACTTAAACTTTTTGGCGGGAAACTTACGAAATTTAAAACAATACGGGCGGCATGTGAAGACTATATTTAATTTTACTGTGATAAGCCAAGCTGGGCAGAAATGTTTGTATAGATGTTGTGTGTGTATAGTTTGTGAAATAAAATACTTTAATTAAATAAAGTAGGAAAGGGCTGTTTCTTCATTGAATACCAACTTCTGAATGACACTGTTTTTCGTTATGCACACAAGAGACAAAATTCGAATAAAAGTAAGAATATTAATATGTATTAATCATTCTTATTTTCCTTTTGTGGTTTTGAGCTGCAAAAAGAGCCTAAGTGGACTATAGCACACATTGCTCATTACAACGGCGGGTAAAAAAATAGTACTATTGTCGCGTCACAATTAAACGAATAAATAATGTGTAACTCATTATAATAATAAAACTTGTAAATTGTTTTTACTATTTTAAGCTATTAGGCCCAAAGTTTAAATCCTAATTTTAGCTGAGCATCAAGGCAACAAAACAGGCCGTAATGCACATAACTATGTTTAATTAAGACCTAATTTTAAATGTCAAAGCCAAATAACTTGGAATCGTAAAAAGAATCAATTTTTCCAATTGTTTAATGCGTTTTAAATTATTGCTACTCTTTTTATTTAAGTTAAATTTTATTTTATTTTAAGATAAACCTGGAAATCACACTATTTTTCTGACCGCCATTGTAAATACATAAATACACACATCATGCTGATAATATTTATCTGCCCCTCCATTAAAATCACCGGCGAAATTGTTTTGCAGCTTTTGTTTTAATAATAAAGTGAATTACTGAGAGCATTTTGCTTGCTTGCTTGGCGAACACATTCAGATGTTTCGTTATAATTAAAAGTAATTACTGATACAGGCTCCACAGCACCGGGCGCAGCGCTGCTGGCTTCTCGAATAACAATTTCAATTTCCAAATACATACGTTTTCAATAATATACTCGAAACTGGTTTCAATTGCTCTTCGCTCTTCTAGAGGAATGGGCAACATTTGTGACTGTGTTTTGTTTGACTTTCATAGCTTAGCTTAAATTCTAATTAAGTGTTCAATTGAAACTCTGTTGATGCTGCTCGCTGGCTGGCTGGATGGCAGGCCTGTTATGGTGTTCTACTCTGTTCTGGTCTGGTTTGGGCATTTTCCTGACTGCTTCATATGCTTTGCTTTCATTTACTTTCATGGCTATTGTTCTTTTCGGGTTTTCCATTTTCCATTTTCCATTTCGCTCATCTCGGGTGGCGTGCTTCAGCTCAATTAAATTTCTGGGAAGGCCGTTCAAGCTTTTAACTGCTCACTTTTCCGCTTCTACACTTCGCCTTGTGGGCCTCGTGTTAGCTTTACTTGGCGGGCGAGGAGCCGCCAAAGAATGGCTCCTCCCACTTGTGGTGCACCTCCGGCGTTAGGTTGCTAATCTGCACGTGCACAGCCTGGTGCTTCTCGTACTTGGGCGGAATGGCGCACAGACGGTATTTGACCTCGTCCCCGGGCATGGGCACATATTCACCTTCGATGCTGTGGGGCGATTAAAATTTTGTAGCTTTTAAAGAGCCAGCTCAAAGGTCGCATGCATTATTCATCCACTTACTCGGAAACATGGCAGAAAACATCCTCTCCGCCGGCATGGGGTGTAATGAAGCCGTGTCCTTTGGTGCGGCTGAAGGATTTCACAATGCCGGTCACAACCGGATTTTCCAAGGCCCGAGCGGAGCTGTGTTTTTTTTAGAATTTTTTTTTTTTTTTGCGTTTGCGCGTGTTTAGGTTTTGGCATCGTTTTGAAAAAAAAGGGAAAAGAGAAAGCAGGAAGATACAATTAAATCAATGGAAGATGAAGGCACAGGGGCAAGGACAGAAATTAAGTACGCGCATTATGTTCAAAAGGGTACTCAAGGGATTATAATTTTGCTAACGACGGATCCCTGATTAAAAATGATTTTTAATTTGCTTGAAAAGTACGAAATAAAATTGTTAAGCATTTGTCAAGGTTACTGGGCCCTCTTAATATAGTGAATAAAAGTCGAATGTGCCAATTTTGCAATACCAAAAAAAATATTTGTAAGGAACTATAAGAAATATTTATAAAAATAATATATTAATGTTTCAAATTTTACAAACATTTTTGTATTTTTACAAGATTTTACAAAGAGTGATTAATCTTAAGAGAGAGAACATTGTAGATATTACAAGTGATTAAAAAAGGACCAATCATTGCAAAACAATCTGTACTTTCACGGCTCATTAGCCCCCCGAAAAGCGCCTGTATTGCCTCTGGAAAAGGGCCAAAGTTGCTTTAGGGGTCAAGGGGCGAGTGGATGGTTAGTTGGCAAGTGTTTGGATGGCTGGAGGATGAGGATGGAGGACTTACGTCGAGGCCGTGCGTGTGCGTCGCGTGATAATGGGACTGGGCAGCTGCAGCGAGGCATTGGGACTATGGCTGTTGTGGTGGAACACCGGCGGCTTGGCGGTCAGCAGCTTCTCGGGCGTCCTTGGCTCGGCCATGTTTATTCTCTTTAGCTTTCTGCGTTCTTCCCCTTACTTCTCTTCTCTTCTGCTCAATTGGTAGAAGCGGCTTTTGCGCGTGTGTGTATATATGTATGTGGGTGAGTGGACGGCAGCCAAGACTGTCGAGTTCAAGGCCACGGGCGGCGGGTTAGTCAGCCAGCAAATTGCGTTGCTAATTTCACCTGTACTCTCTAGCTTACCGCAAACTTCACGCCCTATTTTTTGTTTTTAGCACCTTTCGAGAGTTAACAACTCGATGAACTTAGCTTCCTGGCTTGGCTTTTTTTTGGAACACCCGCACACTGATGCAATTTCTTGCAGCTTTGGGAAATGCCGGTTGCTATAGTTTTTTTTTTACCCTTAAATCCGGAATAATGCAGCTTGCGTTTTATTCACTTTTAAGTCTGGCGATTTTATTCAGCTTTTTATTTGAGTATTACCTCTGTTTTATACGCGGTTTTTAACAATTTTAACGAATGGCGGCGGAGGCGTCAAGGCGATTTAGAGTGACCGTTTCAAGTGTTGCTTAAAAAACCTCAAAACTGTCGATTGGGTAAATACCATGATCTATCGATATTTATAGCAAGCGAAAAAATAGATATATTTAATTTGTCCAATGAAAGCCATAATTTGTTTAAAAAACGGACTGCACCACAAAATAAAACAATATAAATATAATGACATTTTCATCATTATTTAATAGGACTCGATGGTTTAATCGTTTAGCTATTGTCATCACTCAGAACGCTCACGATCCACCACGTTCAATCTTGTCCATCTCTAAACGACTAAAATTTAGCGTCTTTCTATGTTTCCTACGAGTAAATCTTTAATTCCCCCGATATATGAGTGATTCGGGGAGCGACGGAGACGCAGAAGCAGAAGTCGAGGGCGTCTTGAATCCAGAATATTACTCATCGGACAGCAGGGAATCCGACCAGCCAGTTTGGCGAAGACAAAACTGGCAGCGGATTATGACCCAAAATCCCGACTCTGGTCCTGATTTGGTGCTGCAAGAAATGGAGGACGAGTACGAAGCCTTGGAACCAGAGCCTAATGATGACTATGTCACCACAGATGAAGAGGAAGAGATTGCGGAGCCTGTGGAGATGTTTGAACCAGTTAGGGAACAGCAGGATAGACGAGCTATAAGAAGGGTCTTGCAGGTTCTAGTGCCTAGGGATTATATAGTGCAGGAACCTCAGCAGCAGGCCAATGGAAATCAGGAACAACCCCAGCCACAAGCCAATCAGGAACCTCAGGATCAGCCCGATGAGAACCGGGAGCCTGGTGTCAATCAGGAACCTCTGCCACAGCTGGCAGCCCCGCCCCAGCTTATAGTTGACCTGGAAGAACCTGTAGCTCCTCCCGCAGCAATCCTGATAGATCCTCCGCCGTTGCCCAGTCCGCCCAGTACTTCCCGGCGAGCCCAAGCAGATGGGGCAGCTGTGATTTCACTGGATACACCGTCGCCTCCCAAAAAACGTAAACGTCTCTCTGCCGCCGATAAAAGTTTAAAAAAATCACCCGAGAGTAAACCCATTGTTGTGGATGAGGACGAGGACGATGGCCTGACCTGTCCCATTTGCCTGGACTCCTGGGAAATGAGTGGTGAGCATCGACTGGTCTCCTTGCGCTGCGGTCACCTCTTCGGCGAATCCTGCATCCGGCGCTGGTTGAACGAGAGCCAACGCCAGTCATCAGTAAAGGTGTGTCCGCAGTGCAAGACGAAGGCCGCATTCAAGGACATTCGCCACCTGTACGCCAAGCGCATCCAGATGCTGGACACGGACATAAGGGAGCAACTGGAGGCGGAGCGCCGGCGCACCCAAACCCTAACCACAGAGTTGGCCACCGCGAAGCTGGCCCACACCCTAACCTCTGAGAAGCTGATGCTTATGCAGAAGGATTACGAGCGTTTGAAGGAGCTGGTCAGGGCAGGCGGTGCTCGTGGCGCCTTCGGAGGCGATGCCATGGGCAGTGGGGATCCGAAGAGCATTCACATGCTGGCCACTCATCGTTTGTACATGGAGAAGAACTTCGAGATCACCAGAGAACCGGGTTGCCGGGTTCTGCTCTATTCCGCCAAACACTCAATGCTGGTGGCCTCGCAGAAGAGTGCCCAGAACCTGTTCCCCGGCTATGGAGTTCGCTTTATCGATCCGCCCAGCTTCAAGCCACTGCACTTTCTGCACACCTCCGCGCTGTTAATCAGGGACATTGCGTTCAGCGACTCCCAGCACCTGCTGACGGTAGCCAGTCGAGAGCCAAAGATCAAGATCTTCGACATAAGAACGCGTCTGTGCTCAGCGATGTTCACGGCGCACGACAAGATGCTCTGGTCCTGCGCCCTGGATCGCAACGAGCGGGAGCACTTTCTCTACGGCGGAGACCTGCGAGGAGGAGTCTATATCTATGACTTGCGCTTTCCCGAGACCATACTCTGCGAGTTCCAAGCCGAGGGTGAGTTTGTAGAAGTTTGTAGACCTGATATTTTATTTAAAACCATTCGTTTATGCCTTGCAGAGAACTTCAGTCCTGTGATACACATAGTTCCAGTGCCACCGAACAAGACGTTTACCAGCGGGGGCTTCCTGGTCTGCCAGCTAACGGCCCTCACCTTTTACGAGTACGCTGCGGCCAGTGATACGGCAGTGCCCACGCGGCTCAATGTGGAGGGACCCTTCCTGTCCATGCAGTACGATGCCGTGCTGGACACGCTGCTCATATCGGCCCGATCCAACCCGAATTCGCCTCAGTCGCGCTTTATACTTGGGCGTCTGGACAAGATCGACAACACGCCAGTGCTAAAGGTTAAGGCCACCATCTACGGTTCGAAGGCCACGCCGATAATGACGCGACCCACCCAACTGGGCGTCGAGGATAACACCCTAGTTGTGGGCTATCTGCAGGACAGCAAGCAGTTGATGATGCACGATGTGCGGCGGGAGGAGCGGGTCCAAACGATGCCCGTCAACGAGGTGATCTACGACATCTGCCCGGTGGCCACCCAGGCGGGATCCTATTTGGCCGCCCTAACCGACAACAAATGTCGCGTCTACAAGGTTAACAGTTCCAAGCGATGAGCTATGTTTGCATGTGCGTGCATTTGTTTTCCATGAAAATACCAAAAGAAGTGTTTAGTTTTAGCTGATTTCTGTGAAATAAGTGACTGCTGAAAAGGGACGAACTTTTAAGCGTTGTTCTTAGTTTAATTTTTTCATTAATTCCGTTTATTAAACATTTGTCAACCTTACGGTTCGCGTACAAGATTACTCTGAACATAAATCTATATTGTGTACTCCATGTTCGGTTTTTGATTCTTGATTTCAATTTTTGAATGCTCGTAGTCTGTTGTGAATAAGTCTTGTATAAAACAAAAGAAAATGTTGGTTCGATTAATAATATACATATAAAGCTATACAAAAATGTGTTATCCATACAATATCCAATTTTTATATATATGCGTAATTATAGATACTCCTAAGTGAATTGTGGAAATGAACGAATGATTAAATAGATGTCTAAATTCATTCCTGACAGTCTCGAAATGTTTGCAACATTTTCAACGTTTGGAAAAGTCCTTCGAGCTTAAACTTGCAACGAGTTTTGAGCGGCCCACGCTAGCTGGGATTTTCAACAATCCTGTCCAGCGTTGGCAAACCCAACTAAATCTAAATGAATTCGGTTTGCTTCTCTTGAGTCTTGAGTTTTGTAAAATTGTATCAAAAAGGTTTCGTCGTTGGTCGTTTGCGGGTTTTCTGCTTTTCTTTTTTTGGTAATTCAAAAACCTCTCTGGCATTTACTCCTATATATAGTTGTATATGGTTTATAGTATAGTATATAGATTAGTGTGTTGGATAGTTGAAAGACGCAGATCTATACTTTTCAAGTATAATTTTGTATATTTTGTGATGTTTTATTTGTGTTTTTGCTGTTTTGTGTCTGTGTGTTTTTGTGTTTGTTAATGTTAAGATTAGAGAATACGTATTCGTATGAAGAATCGTATGGAGTCAGCGTTACTTAAAAGACTTTTAGCTTAAACTGTACGAGAACTAAATATACAGTAATCCGATAGACATATCTTTATATATATATATATATAAACACTAGATTCACTTAGGCTAAACTAAACTCGAAACGAAGTCGGGAAAACGAAGCTTTGATACCACATTCGATTCCTATTAAATTTAAAGAAATCTAATGTTATAGAATTTAAGTCCAAGGCTTGAAACAGCTTAGAATTGAATTGAAATTTTTGAAGCTTAAGTTAAGTTAATTATGCAAGTAGATTAGCTTTAAATTTGATAAAAATGGAAGTAGCAACAAAGCTGAATGAGATTAATCGATCCCCAGGCGGCTAAAGACAGGTGAGAAAGATTAGCTTTTGGGATTTTGGTTCGCTTAATCGACGCGCGCATATCGCGGCACTATGTCCTTGCTGATCCAGTAGTTGCAGTGCAAGTAGTCCTCCTGCGGCTGCGCATCCTGGCCCACATTAATGACCCGACGGTTCGGGACGAACGACTGCACCGTTCCATGGGACACATAGTAGTAGAATAGCTGCTGCATGGCCGAAACGAAACGGCGTTGCTCCACGGTATGTGGCTCGTAGCGACCCAGAATGGCCTGCACATCGGCGTCCACGGTGGCCAGCTGATCTGGTCCCTCGCCCTGTGTGACGACGTAGAACGGCACAGTCGGCTGCTGTCTCGCAATCGTCAGCAGCGGGCAAACGGTGCGTATGTCCGAGATTATGGCAACCAGCGACGCATAGCTGCTGGCGTTGTACTGCTCGAGCACCTCATCGGTGAGGCCCATGGCACCAATCTGGGAGTTCTCCACATAAGCTCGCACCTCGTCGCGCGTCCAATTCGTGTGCAATTCGCGGAGCTTCTCGGTGTGCGCCTCATGAGCACTGGCGCCTATGACCAGCAGTGGCTTGTCTGCGGACTGTCCGCGTTTCCAGGTATCAGAGGGATGTTCAAAGACCACATCTCCGTCGAGAACCAACCACTCGTGACGGCTGCCGCTGGCATTCGCCTCCTGGGGTTGCGGCAGATCCACGGGGAAGTGCAACCAGGTGTCGGGAGTGGCGGCCCACAGTCGCTCGGTGGATGCCTCGCGCAGGCACTCCACATCCCCGCACTCAAGGGTGGTCATAAGCTGCTGGTTAAGTTTGCTCGACTCGCTCAATGGTTTTCCCGGCAAAATGGCCGATCCGGATGAAGCCCATGCCCTGGTGTACAGACCCTTGACCTTCTGAGAGTTGACCAAAAGAGTAACCAGAGTGGCTCCGGCCCGATGTCCCAGCAAAGTGACGGATTTTGGGTCACCGCCAAAGTTGGCAATGTTCAGCTTGATCCAGTTGAGCACGGCTATGATGTCGGTGAGCGCATAGTTGCCGGATGTGGGTGGATGTGCCTCCTTGGTCAACGCATCCAGAGCGAGGAAGCCGAAGAGACCCAAACGGAAATTGGGTCGTACAAAGATCACATCGTGGGAACGTGAGTAGCGAGCCGATGGACGGAGTATTCCCGGCGATGGTCCAGCCAGGGATTCGGCGCCAATCAGAACCACCACTGGCAGGGGATTGTTGTAGCGCACATGGGGAGTGACCACATCCAAATAGAGGCAGTCCTCGTCTCCCACGGTTGTGCCATTGCCCAATCTCTGCGTGCACACCACACTGCTGTTGTGCGTTTGCAGGGTATCGTTCCAGCACATATTGATGTCGTCAATCAATTCGGCCGGCTTCCATCTCAGACCCTCCACAGGTGGCTTCGCATACGGAATGCCACGGAAGGCGAAGGCTCCGTCTTCCTTCACACCCTCCACAGGTCCGCAGCTCGTCACTGCCATGATATAGCGTCCCTCGCGCAGAGGCGGCGAAGTCAACGTCTCGTGGGTCAGCACATAGCCAATCACGGCCAGCAGGAGGACAAACAGCAGGATGCCAAACACAATCAGGGCATCATCCACACTGCACTTGTAGCCACGCAGGCGGGTCAGCAGGGAGATGGGTCGGTTCTGCTCCTCCTCCTCGGCGGCCAGTTTTTCCTCCGCCGCCAGCTTCTCGTCCTTGAGCTCGCCCTTCAGCTCGTCGGTGCCGTTGGTCTTAATGGGAGCACGATCGACGGTATCCTGATCCTTGAGGGAATCATCAAGGGTCTCCATGGAGGCCAGACCGGCCTTGCCCAAACCCAGTTCTACATCATCGCTGCTCTTCTTTTTCGGTATCATATTGGCAATGGGCAGTTTAATGGCGTTTAGAAGTCCACGTTTTGGCGGTGGATCGGAAGCTTCATCAGCGGGTGTAGCTTCAGCTGTGGCTTCTACAAATGAAAAGAAGACATAGGTATAGTTTAATTCATGGCATATAATCTTATAAGGATAGAATAATAGTACTTTATCTTTAAGGAAAGACGTAATTTATGTTTTATACTTATTTTTGAACCCTTTCCAAAAGTTATAGCTTAAAAAACGCACTCACCCGACTTGGCATCAGCATCTCCGTTGACCAGCTGTTTCTTTTCCTTCTCGGCGGATGGTTTGCGGGCAAAGAAGCTGCGCAGACGCTCTCCCAGTCCTGGACGAGACTTCTGCTCATCCTTGCCGGAGACAGTGGCGGCATCGCCGTTGGCTTCCTTATCCTTTTCCTCCTCCTTCTCGAGGAGCTCTCCCTCCGCACCATCGCCCTCCGCTTTGGGCTTATTTTTCATGAAGAAACCGGGCAGCTTGAGACCCCCAATGGGGATCTTCTTGGGCTTTACCTCACGCTCCTCCTTGCTGATCTTCTTTTCATCGGCGCCCTCGGGTTTTGTGACATTTTCGGCGGGAATATCGATAATCTCCTCTCCATTGCCTGGTTTCGACATCTCAGGTTCATCATCACCGTTTTTCTTTACCGGCACAGGTGAGGATTTCTTGCCGGCATTGGGAGATGCTGGCTTGGAGGTCTGCGGACTGGGTGTCTTCTCCTTGCAGTCTTCTTTTTTATCCAGCATTTTGTCCGTTTCCTTGGGCTCCTCAAGCGCTTCTTGCTGGGCGGCTGTCGTCTCAGTGGGCGGGGTTTCCTTCTCTTCGAGTTCGCCCATCTTGTGAATGTTTCAAGAACGTTTAGAGAACTCTTCGGGAATTCTGCAAAATATAAACAAGTATACTTTTTAGTTCATGTTCTAGATATCAGGTCCTTTAGAGGACAAACCTTGACTTAGTTGCAGAAATAACTATGTTACACTTTGGCTCTACTTTTTTGTGACGTATTTTTTAAGGGATCTACGATCTAGGATCTATCACGATCGCTGACTGAAATGCTTCTAGCTGCAGCTCAAAGCAGCACAGGATTTTTATACGGTTCTGGTTGAAATTCCTGGCCTAAGGATCTGCAGCTGATCCTGGCAAATGTCAACGCCGGCTGTCGGCCTCTCCTTTGTCCTTGCACAATTGCTTAAGGGTTTTCCTCCCTTTCTCTCTCTCTCTCTCCCTTTCTCTACCTGAAACTCTACTTAAAAATCCTACCTGGAAAATGCGGTTCAGGTAGCCCGCTGAAAATTTGCTCGAATTTTCCTCAACATATCCCTGCCGCATGACGTTTTTTTTCGAAGCGGGAAGACCGCAAATTTATTAAGCTAGCAGAACCAGCTGCATACCGATCAGTTTGTGATCCAATCCACGTTCCGGATCCCTTACTTCTTACGCTTTTCTTCAGATTCCTTCATATTTCCCTTTTTGGTACGTGCGCCTTGTCCTGTTTCACACGTCCCACCTTCTCCGAAAAACGTTCTTAATTAGCGAAAAACTATAAAATCAACGTGGAATGTAGCCAAGGACATTCCCCGGGTCCTTTTGCATCATTATGCCTGAAACGCCGCTCACAGCGTGATCGCAGTAGCAAATCACGTCCAGACTAATTGACCGCAACAGAAACTGTCAGAAGTCATGAGAATTTTCTTTTATAAAAACTTCTGCGTTGACTTCGCTTGACTTTTTTTTATTGAGCTGGACATTAAAATGACATTTGTGAAGGAAAATTGAAAGACGTGATCATTTAAAAAAGATTTGGGTTTTGGAAAGCAAGCGAAATGGCTAGACACAAGTTAAATAAATAATAGGTTAGGATTTTAAAAAGCGAACAACAAATCGCAGATGCTGCTAAGTTTATATTTTCAAGCGCTCTCTTATTTTTAATATGAACGATTATGTTACAAGATCCACAAACAAAGTTATTATCGCGATTAAAGATAATAATTCTGAAATAATATTTTCTTTTTATCTGAATTGTTAAAAAGATTAATCACTCTACTTGTCCAACCATTACCAATCAAAGGCTTTCTTCTTATTTAATGTTTTTATAGCAAAATACTCGAAAAACTAATATAAATTTTGTTATTGTTCATTTGACCCACTAAATTTAGCTCCAGTTCATAGCATATTATTTTTCTGGCTGTCTAATGAACCCCTTTTTTAATATTTCCCCAATGAGCGTATTACAAGTCCATTACTTGCACGCATAAAATCCAAACCAAAACCA